AAAAATACAAATTTTAAAGATAAGTGACTTACCATTGAATTAGCATTTTTTTTATCCATTAATGAGCATCTGTTACCCATTAATGGGTAACAGTTACTCATTAATGGGTAAAAAACTTCTAATACTAGTTTAGTCACTTTTCTTCAAAATGAACCTTGTTTTTACTTATAAATGGGTACTTTCAAGTTAGCGTGTTGGGTACCTCGTTCTCCATGCAGCAACATGTGCAAAGGCATGCAAGCCAAATATAAGCAATGCATTTAAACGTCGGTTGTTCCAGAATTGCAGAATTCTGGGGAAATGGTTATAATCGCATGTTTTGAATGGTGCAGGTATAAAAGGGAGATTTTTGCGGGGTCCAAATATCCTACAATACCCGCTAATCTGAATGACACTTCGTGCATATAACCGGGGTTTATTTTTATTTTGAACTTCTTGTAACCCTATGACCATTAGAACTTTGAGTTTCTCGTAGCCTTATTTGCGGTTTTGTTTTGATTCTGCTTTCCATTTTGTTATCGTTTCATTCCGCTTTATTATTTTCTCCTAAGAATTCATTGGCATTTCTACTCACAATTTCCTTAGATTTCTTCTCATAATTTGATTGGAAAATCTCCTGAATTAACAAATTTTACAATTAAAAATATATGGTCTAAAACGGAGAAAACTTTACTTTTAATCCAATTTACAATCGAAAATAGTTCATTAACAAAATAAATCTAGAGCATTTTCATAATTTTTGTTTGTTCATGGACCATGATTTAAGAATTGGGATATTTTTTTGTAAGCTGAGATCCCGACAGTATTTCGATGTCTAATATTTAAAAAAAAAAACATTTATTGTATTGTGGAATGATGGCAAATTGAGACATTTTTTTAATATTATGAACTTAAAAAAATCTTCAAGCTTGGATTTTTTTTTTAAATTTGGAGTCATTCGGAATCTCGGACGGAATGGATGCAATCTTATCTTCCAGCAGACGCTCTGAACAGCAATTTCAACATTTATAAAAAAATCTACACTGTCCAGCAACACTAACTGGGTGTAACCTAGGGCTTACCTTCCCTACTAACATTCCCGAGAAATTTATGAGGGGTCGTAGAGTTCTCTGCATCTTTCTTAAGTAAATGTTGGACCAACATACCTTTCCTATCCCTACCAGTTACAAAAGGACGTGGCCAGGACAATCCTTAACTGTTGGAGCGGGAGATGTCTTTATCTGGGAGATAGTAATTATTTCTTACTTACTATCTGTCCAGTAATACATAGATATCCGTCTTGCTCTTAATAGTTTTGAATTCGTACCATCTACGATATTGTGCAATTTTTTCGATGCTAATGCTAATGCTAATGCTAAATTCCTAAACTGTAGACAATTTTTGGGATCCTGGCACCGAGCCTGGCACTTTGAAGTATGTTCGTGACATTTTTGAGGATAATTCATGTATAGTAAATTGGATTAATCATGATTATGTTGACGTAGTGGAGTTATCCGTAGTTTAGGTAAACTGTGTGCGTGCCACGAAGTAAAGATTTGATTTCCGTTTCTGCATGATGAATTTTTCATACCAATAAAATTGCCTAGTGGTCTACTTGGTGTTGTGTGTTGTACGCTGTCTATTAAATTGTCAGTCTGCGTAATCTCTGGTTAAAGATGTCAAAACTTTAGTATTATTATTAAGAACTAATCAAATCTTTGAGACATATAATATAGTTCTAGGATGCATGAAATAGTAAAGACTTAATCAAGAATAAGTTATAAACTCATTATTCTTTAAAAATCCATCCATTCAAACTTGCTTTTTATTTAAGTATTTTTTACACAAGGCTTAACCCTGTTTTTGAAACTCTGTACGACTCAGGGTTCTACATTTTCGAAACAAAGAAAAGAAAATGAACTCTCCGCAGAATCGCTTCATTTCGAGCAATATCATTTTCGTGTAAGTCATTGTGTTTCTTGTTGTTGAGTCACGATGAACATTCCTCCTGTCAAGCATGACTTGACTATCGCTTGTTTCGTTCGTCAAATACGTCAGTTCATTTCATTTGAAGCAAAAACTTGTTTCAATTGATGCAATGAATGACGCGAAAACTGCTTCCTTCGTTTTTGCCACTTTCACTTCAATTCGGAGCTCATTCGACTTGGCACGTGTCGCGTCGTCAGGCATCAACACATAGTAACCGGATAGTATTCGCACAATATCGGATACCGATAGGCATGGCATCCGGATTATATGTCGTAACAAATTATTATTTTATATTAAACGAATATTAAACTAACGAGGCCATTCTGGAGTCCAAGATGGCGGTCATCAGCCTCTGGAAAAGTCGCAAATACCCTACAATATTGGTATTCTAGGAACGGTGACGACGCGAAGGTGCCGAAAATCGATGTCCGACGCAATTTTGGAATCCAATATGGCGGCCATCGGGCTCGGAAAAACGATATTCGACACTATTTGTAGGATATTTGACACTTCTTCTAAAATAAGAAGCCACCATCTTGAATTTCAAGATGGCGTCGGACATTGATTTCCAGCCTCTAGATGTCACCCCTATTCCAAAAATACTCACATTGATCGGTATTTGACAGTATTTCACAAAAGCCACCATCCTAGATTTTCAAATGGCGTCAAACATCGGTTTCTGGCCTCTAGACGATGCTGAGATTGAAAATACCCACATTAATGGGTCTTTGACACTATTTTCAACTTTTTCTGAATCCAGAAGTCGCCATCTTGGATTTAAATATGGCGTTTAACATCGATTTTCGGCATCTATGTGTCATCCCTGTTCTGAAAATTTACACATTTCCTCAAATCGTTTTTCACAATGGTATAGGATATAGATTTCCGGCTTTTAGACATTACCCTGTTACTAAAAAAAGCATATGTAGGGTATTTGATAGAATTTCACACTTTTTCTAAATTAATTTTAGAATTTTAGAATTTTAAAATGGTGTCAAATATTGTTTTCAGCCTCTAGATGTCATCTCGATTCCAACAATACCCATATTGATGGGTCAGCGCCACCATCTTGGATTTCAAAATATCGTCGGATATCAATTTCTGGCCTCTAAACAACACCCCTATTAAAAATACCCATATTTAAGGGTATTTGACAGTATTTCCCATTTTTTTTTCTGAAATCGAAAGCCACCATCTAGGATTACAAAATAGCGTCGGATATCGATTTTCAATCGTTAGACGTCATCCCGATTCCAAAAATACCCATATTGATGGGTCGCTGTCAGTATTTCCCACGTTTTCTGAAATCGGATGCCGCCATATTGGATTTCAAAATGGCGTCGGTCATCGATTTCCGGCCTCTAGATGTAACTCCGATTCCAAAAATACCCACATTGATGGGTAAGCAAACCCCCTATAATGATGAATTTGACATCTACGTACACAAAATCAGAAATACTGCGCGAATTTGGATCGAACAGCTTCGCGTCATTGCGAAAGATAGTTCGTTTGACAATGAAAGACGAAATCAACCCGAGACAAGCCAAAACAAACAACATGAAAACTGATCGGTAGTGGTTTTGTTGATGTTGAAGAGGATCTGCTCGAAGAGAAGACAGAATTACTTTCAATTGAAAGTGATGGTTGACACCTTCGTCGTCGCTTGCCGATTTTTGATTGAAAGTGACTTTGTTTGGCCCTGGTACGACTATTCAAACTTTTTGGATGCATTGTGAAACTACTTTTCTTAGCTTGTTATGGTTATGGTACATCAATTTGATTTCAATAGCATTATTGCCACTACAATTGAAAACTGGAATAACTCACTAACCAAAATCGATTTTACTCTCTTTCTAAACGTTATACATATCGTTAGAAGAAGTGCACTTGAATCGCACAACGATTCGCTATAATACGCACTACTTCCGATACTATCTATAACGTATAGATCTAGAGTAAAATCGATTTTCGCTAGTGGGTTATTTCTGTTTTCAACTGTAGCAATAATATTTTAAAATTAGATCTTTACGTATTTGGATGTTTCCGAGCATTCCAGATTTTTCCAGATTTTTCCAGATTTTTCCAGATTTTATATTCTAACTGGAACAGATTTTCTTGAAAATGACCTGGCAACGCTGGTTATAGTTCAGATTTCATTCATTTGTGCGTGTGCTGTTGCCAATACACTTCAAATGCAGATCCGAACGTACGGTAGCAAGCGGTTGTAAAGCACACAAAGCAAGAACCGGTTCAGTACAAACCAACTGTCGCGATAAGGTTGTACTATTGGGAAGCCTGCTCTGAACACTTCAAACGACCATGGATGATTTCTAGCAATTTAAAAGTTGTATGTTAATTAATGAACACTTTAAGCGTCCTACGGATGCAATTAAACTTTTAATACTGTTTAGTGTGAATCTATAAACTCTTCAAAAAACCTCTGATGACTATTCTTGTGAAGCACGTTTAATTTGCAATCAGCGCCTAGTCCATTCTCTGTCTCACTTATATCAATATGCCACTCAAAGCGCCTAATATACGAGACGCCCCCTATTGGTTGGCTTCCCGCCTATGACGATAGACCATTAAAAATAATTATGTAAAGTTTCATGCAAATCGCAGACTGTCGAATCTGAAATTCATTCTGTTTTCTATTTGGCCTGGAACTGCTCTATAGTAGTAACGGCACCTGTGAACGGTGTTGGCATTATCAAGAGACTTATGCTTGCGCATAATTTACAAATAATTACAAATACAAATACAAATACAATACAGATACAAAACCATCGCGCTATCTGAGCTAATGTATGCAAGATTTCTAGCACTATGGATTGATGAAAAAATTATCAAGTAAATTGATAGACATATTTTCAGAATTGAACGCAATACCTACTCCCAGTATGTTGGTGTCGGTATCAATATTGTTTACATGTATCGCACGCTCGAAAAATCAGCTTTTGGCGGTTTTGTGTTTAGTTCGCAGTGGGACTCTGCACGTGATAGTGTTAAGCCGGTTGAAGCAACAAAGTAGGCGAGTCATTTGATTTCGGTGCTATCTTGTTCTATTTATAGATTATTTTTGCAGCTGAGAAATATAATTTAAAATTGGTTTGTGTACTGCAGACTACTTTTCAGTGTTCAGTCAAAGATAACTTGAACAAATTTGAAATTCCGGCACGTAAATCAGCCATTAGAATCAGGAGAATTTTGGTAAGTGATGCATTCTAAATATACACACTAGCAAGCTAAAGTAATCTAGTAAATGTACGGACGACTGTCACCACAAAATTGAAAAAAAAAGTGGTTCCAATCGAGCAGTGCAGCTTTGTAATCAAAAATAATAATAAAATACATGACAAATCATAACTAATAGAGACGTTTTTCCGTTTTTTAGAACAGCTCAAAAATGACGGACGAGCAAACCGCAAGCCTGATGGTCTTGGACGACTACGTCTGTGGTGAAAATACTGGCGCCCATGGGAACATCTACCAGCGGGATTTGGCGTTTGTGCTGTTTGTGCGAGGATCAATGAAGAAGTTCAAGTTCAAGCTGGCCACAGAGATGACGGATGCCGGCAAATTTGACGATGTGGTCGTGTATGCTGAAGATCTCGACGAAACGTGGCTAATTCAAGCCAAGCACGCTCAATTGGATGCTTCGAATCCGAGCAGGATTTCGGAGAAGGAGTTGTTGCCCTCCGATGTACGGCTACTGGGAAAGGACTTCGATCTGTTCAAGTATATGCATTCGTACATGCAAGTGGAGGGAGTATTAAAAGGCAAGAAGCGATATTTCATACTCACGAACAAGGATTTGGAAGACTCGGACAATCTGAAGAAATGGATTCGAGATGCTGAGGTGGATGCGTTGATTAATTTTTCCGACTTTGGTGGTGCTTACAAGAAATTTGAGCCCGACGTGAACGACATAATCGAAATGTTGCCCATGGTGAATGCGGAATTTTACAAAATTAAAAATGCTATAGTGAACGTCTTTAAAACCGGGCAGGTCGACAAGTTATTGATGAATTTCAAGACACCCGTGGCGAAAATATTGAGCGTTAAGGATAAAGTTCTTCGATTTTCTGATAACTTCTTGAAAGAAAGCAATGCCGAGCTGTACAAAATGCTCCTGATGGACTTTAAACAGGAACTGAACTTGGTGAAGGTGGGAGAAAATCCTGCTATAAAAAGTTTATTGGACAAAACGAAATCTCGAAACCAGGAACTTCCTGTATTCCTCAACGAAACGAAGGTGACCGAGTTTTTTGAAAGCTTAACCCTGTGTGTGAATCAACCGAACGAGCTTCGCAATATCGTAGATCAAGATATTCGAATGTGGCTAAGAACATGGGTGCGTCCAGACGATCTAGGAAAATTTGGTGAGAGCCAGCTGAAGCTACCTGCGAGCAAATTCGACGAGGTGTTCAAAAGCTGGGACGAGCCAGATATGAAGGGTGTGGCAAAATCTAAGAACAAGTCATTTCTGCACTCTGATGTGGGTACCAACTGTTGGAATGAGATCATCAAGGAGCTGGAACAATTCACGACACGACACATTGACGTGCTGAGAAGCTACTACGTGAATCGTGAGGTTATTTTCACTGAAAATGATAACGGAACCAGACAGAATTCTGAAATCAACGATAATGAGTTCAGTAAGCAGTTGACTAATGGCTCAATTGAGGATAAATATCTTGTTCTAATAGCAGATCCCGGAATGGGCAAGACAACTTTTCTACAGTATGTTTCCTTCGAAGTTCAAAAACTCACCAGCAGAGCGATATTTTTTATTTATTTGAACAGTTTGAAAGACAAGTTGCTTAACACGAGCGAATGCATCGATCTGAACAGGGCGCTAGATATCATTGGGCCTGCTTTGTCCGTAAGTAACAATTTGATGTTGCATAATATCTTCATCAACAAAGAAGACAACATGTACAAAGAAGGTGACATTTGGTTCTTCCTGGATGGTTTTGATGAGGTCCCGGCTTCTGAAAACGTTAAACTTATCTCAGTTGTTCGTCAATTGCTAAACACCCAACGAGTTCGGATTGTGATCAGTGGACGAAAGCATGTGGAGAAGGATCTCAGAGATGCGTTGGTTGCGAAGGTCATATATTTGAAACCTTTTACATATATCGATCAGATGACATTTTTGGAAAAGTTTTGGAGCGTTTTCATAAAGGATTCCAGCGTTGTTCCGAAATTTCAAAAGTATGCTAAGGGATTACTAGACAGGTTTTATAAGAACCTCTACAAGTCCACGATGCTTCCCCTGATGATTAGACTTTTGGCTGAAGTCTACACGGACGATCTTGAGAGGTTCTTGCTATCACATAATGAAACCGAGGAATTGGACAAACTTTCAACCGAAGTGTTCAGCGTGGTTTCGTTGTTTGACCAGTTTGTGAGGAAATCGTTCAACATGAAAATGTTAAAAAAGTTCGACCTAGATCCGTATACGAAAAACGATCCATACGATGATGAGATGGATCCTCTGTTTGAGCAGTACATATTTGAGCATGAACTAGCTGCTATCAATACCTTTAGGTCCATGTCACAGTTACGAGATGTTCTCACCGATCATGAAAAGGTTTATGAAAAGTTCAGGAAGCGGATCGAAGCAGGTAAGGAAAAGTCGCTTCTGATCAATCTCAACGAGCCCCAAATTAAATTTGTGCACGAGTCGTTTGCGGAATACTTTGTGGCACGGTATTTGTACGAGAATTTACAGCACTGCGTGGACTATCTGTGCTCTATTATAGAACATCAGGAACTGATCCGTAGATTCTTCTTTCTGTTTCTTAACGAAGACGTAGAGCAAAGCTCAACACAGCTCTCGTTGTTAAGCACCGTTGGTGAAGAACAAAATTTTGCATTCTGGGCATGTGAAGCATTGTGTTTGGGCGTGCTGAAAAGCTTATCAAACAACCATGATCTCAGCACTTTCTTTTCCGAGAAATATGGTTCATTGTTGCATGTCGCGGCACAGAATGGTTCTACCGAAATATGTCAATTTCTTCTGGACACAATCAAAATCAACGTTAGCTGCTTGTCATGCGAAAAACTGAATGATATAATGGGATTGTTTCCAATTGTGAATCAATTCGAAAAGCAATTGTCGATACACTGTCAAGTGATGGCCCTTCACTTGGCAGCAGCGTATGGAAACGAAGCTGTAGTGAAGCTCCTTCTTGATCATTCGGCCGATGTGAATGCTCAAAATGGATATTTGTTCACCCCTCTCCATGTGGCTGCTAAAAAAGGCCATATTGCCATGATGAAGCTGCTGATAAATAAGTCGGCTGATTTGAATCTTCAGACTTACGAAGGTGATACACCGCTTCATTTAGCGATAGATTTCAACCAACACCAATGTGCAGAATTTTTAATCGATGATGGAGCCAATGTGAACATTTCGAACAACTGCGGATCAACACCACTTGTATTGGCAGTAAGAAAAGGGTTTTCCAGTATCGTGAACCAACTGATTAGTAAGAATGCCAATGTTGCCATTGAATTTGATTCAAATGGTGAAAAGCTGACTCTGCTCCACTTGGCTGCCGAAAGCGGCGATTTGGACACTGTGAAACGGATCATTGCTCTATCAGCCGACATTAATGCGCTAAGCAATTTTGGTAAAACTCCTCTTTTCATCGCCGCTTCAGAAGGCCATGTAAAGATTGTTGAACATCTCATTGGACAAATGGCCAATGTGAATACTTTGAATATAAAAAACGTAGCACCACTTCACTGTGCGATCATCAATAAACATAATGCTGTTGTGAAAGTTTTAATTGCTCACTCAGCTGACGTGCACGCTCCGGATTCCTTAGGAAGTACACCGCTACATCTGGCTGCAGAAAGTGACCTGGACATTGTGAAATTGTTAATAGATATGTCAGTCGATGTGAATGCAGTGAACGGTTTGAAAAGGACAGCACTTCACTTGGCTGTCTTCAAAAAGAAACCTGTTATTGCGGAACTACTTATAGAAAATTCAGCTGATCCCAACTTGGCAGATAAGGATGGATGGACACCTCTGCACTTTGCAGCTTATGTTGGAAGCCTGGAAGCAATTACATTGCTGGTTGAACAATCAATCGACATAAATGCCCGTACCAGTGACAACGAAACCCCTCTTCACCTTGCTGCTAGTAGTGGCTATCGGGATATAGTAGAAATACTAATCAGAAAATCAGCTGATTTGAACGCTGTAGATATAAAGAATAGGACGCCCCTATACGTGGCAATCAATAAAAATAATACATATTATATGGACCTTCTGATCACTCCTGACAACGTGAATATCCAGGATCATCAAAACTTGACACCGCTCCTGCTGGCAGCCCATAAAAATGAACCAGTATCTGTAAACTTACTGATAGAGAAGAATTCTAACGTCAACGCTAGTCGAAAAGATGGATGGACTGTTCTGCATTGGGCGGCAGAAAAAGGTCATTTTGACATTGCTGTGCTGCTAATCGAACGTTCGGCTCATGTAAACGCTCAGGACGGATCTCGGCGGACACCACTTCATCAGGCAGCAGCAAATGGACACACCACTATTGTCGAGCTATTAATCCGTCACTCGGCTGATGTAACAGCCGTAGACAAAGACAAAGACACCCCACTTCACTTGGCTGTCGGCAAAGGCCAAACGGAATGTGTCCAATTGCTCATTACAGCAACGGAAGGCACCAATGTGAATGCCGTTAACAAGCGGAAATGGACACCACTTCATCTGGCAGTTCACCATGGATATCGAGAAATCATGGAATTGCTCATCGATTCCTCACCGAGCGCAGTATCCGCTCAGGACAAGGAAGGGAAGACACCTCTGCACATAGCAGCGATTAATATTCATCTGGACATGGTGGAACTACTGATTTACGCGTCGGCCAGCGTGGATGCACTGGACAATCATGCAAGGACACCTCTTCATTTGGCGGCTCGATGCGGTCACAAGCAGCTCGTCGAACTTCTTCTGATTCATTCGGCCGACGGAAACGCTCGGGATAGAAATGGGAAAACACCCCTCGATTTGGCCACATCGAGTCGTCGTACGGAAGTTGTCCGTTTGTTAAGTGAGTTTTCACATTCCGAAAGATCTCCGACTGTGGGGCATCAGATAGATAATATGGAAATGTGATAAGTTGTTTAGAGCTCTCTTTTCAGGTTGACATTAAATGTTCGCAGGTTTAGTAAAGTGTTGAATATTGACTGTAAGTAACATATGAGATAATATATACACTATAAAATCATTACTCATACTCGTCGTGGTGTTTTTGAGAAATTTGTCCGCCTATTCAGGTAAAAGGGGAAGTCATTGGTGTTAAAAAATCCAAAAGCATAGTTTTCGTTCAAAACCAAAATAACGTTCATGAAAATGTGTTCATTGCATTTTACTTACCTATCAGAGCATAGAAGACACATGTTCATTGATAGAATGTCTGTTTTAAACGAAAATACTGCATCTGCATTTCCAAAACTTAATGATGTCCTCTTTCCCCTTAAAGTTCCCCAATAGGCCACTAAATGTGTATGCATCTTCTTTGAGAAATATTCTTCTATCGTCTTTAGCATATACCGGAACCTCCATTTACGAACCAAACCAGGGGTGGAAATCGATGTCTGACGTCATTTTGTAATCCAAGATGGCGGCTTCCGGTTGTAGAAAAACTTGAAAATTCTGTCAAATACCCCATAATATGGGTATTTTCGGAATCAGGATAACGTATAAGAACTGAAAATCCATGTCTGTCCCCATTAAAAAAAAAAAAAAAAAAAAAAAATAGGCAGCATCAGGTTACACAAAAACTGGAAAATACTTTGAGTGGGTTGGTTTATTTCCTTTAAATTCCGTTATGATTGCTTATCTTTTGACAGATACGCGTATTTCGTCTACTACTTACTCAACACCACTTGGTACTTGGCACTGATGAAGTCTGCAAGTAGTAGACGAAATACGCGTATCAGTCAAAAGATAAGCAATTATAACGGAATTTAAAGGAAATAAACCAACCCACTCAAAACTCTTCATAAAGGGATTCCATTTAGAGGTTCGACACATTTAAAGGATTGGAAAATACTGTTAAATACACCACAATATGGGTATTTTTTCATCTGGGTGACATCCATCCACCATCTTGGATCAAAATGGCGTCAGACATCGATTTCCGGTTTCTACACGTCACTTCGTTATTCGAGATTTACTTCGTAAAAAGAGGGACGTAAATTGAATACTGCGTAAAAAAAGACTTCGTAAACGGAGGTTTCAGTATTTTACTATTTTTATTAAACCGTCAGTTGCCAAATTTGACATAGATTTCCCGCCTCTAGACGTCACCCTGATTCCAAAAGTACCCATAATGATGAGTATTTGATAGTATTTCCCACTTTTCCGAAACCGGAAGTGGCCATCTTGGATTCCAAAATGGCGCTGGATATCGATTTCCGATTTCTAGATGTACCCCCGATGCCAAATATACCCATATTGATTGGTATTTGACAATTTGGCTGCTTCCCTTAGGGCACCCGGAATATGTCCGGATGCGGCCAAAGTGGTTCTTGGAACTAGATTTAAGTTCAATTCAACTCATGTAATTTGATGTGTTGCATGATGGGTTTGACCCTAATCAGATGTAGGCTTCTTCCCCTGGGACACCCGGCAGTTTGGTAAACTTCCCTGAAGCAACAGCGCTCGGTTATTGTTATCGGTTGTGGTTATCCGTCGCGAGTGAACAGGCCTTCGGTGTACCAGTGGTACCGAACGTTGACTCCTTAAGGGACTTAAATAGTGCGCGAATTTAACCCGATCGACCTAGAAAAAGACAGTTGAGTCGTGTACCAGTGCCAGTGTTTGTAAGTGTTTGTTTGCTAGTTGGTGGTGGCTGGTTACCGTCGAGGACGACAACAATCAGCAGCGGTAAGTCAGCCTCTTTGTTTTTCTTTGGGGAGCTGGGGGTGGGGGGCGTCGCGAGGGCGACGTCAACCAGGATGGGGGAACCCCCACCGGGAATAGATCCAAATGGCCAATGCTGCCATACTTCATGGATCCGGTGGGCAACCATGGGGAAGTGAGGATCTTGCGGCTTCAGGAGGGGCTGGTTCAGGATGAGAAAACAAGACGTCCGTTACCAAAACTCCCGGTATTGATTCGTAAATCCGTGCAACAACATCTGAGGGCAAAGATTGAGGGCGGGTTCCCTGAATCTCAGGGGGCCACGTACGCCCTGAAAGTTAGGAGCGCCGATCATTTTCGGAGGCTCCAACAAATGAAGGAATTATCGAACGGTTTCCAAGTTGAGGTGATACCGCACCCCTCTCTCAACACGACCCGATGCGTGATCACCTGCTGGGACTCTGTGGAGGAGAGCGACGGAGACCTGATGTCCGACCTCGAACAACAGGGGGTCAAGGAGATCAGAAGGATCACTAGAGAATACTCGACCGGAGTAACGAACACGGCTTCCATCATCGTGACTTGCCATGGTACCTGTGCTCCCGAGTATCTCTACGTAGGTTACTCCCGCTGCAAACCACGCCCCTATTATCCGTCGCCCATGCAGTGTTTCAACTGCTGGGCGTTCGGACACACCAAGCTAGGATGCCGCGTGCCATCTGCGGAAATTGCTCGACCGACCACCCACAACTGCCAGAACAAAGGTGTAGCAACCCGGCGTTCTGTGGCCGGTGCAACACCGACCAGCATGCTCTGTGACACCGATCGTGCCCCGCCTACCAGAGGGAGAACGAAATCCAAAGAATTAAGGTGGCTCAATGTATTTCGTACCCGGAAGCACGGAGACTTTTTGAACGCTGTACCGGCAGCAACTCATACGCAAACGTGGCGAACGAAGGGACCCAAAGTGTCCTCGCCGAAATGGAAAGGAAGATAGAAGGACGCCGTCATTGCACAGTTGCAAGCCGCACTGCAAATGACCGGCATCGGCAACCCCGCGCCCGTACCCATCGGCATGACCCCCGCTCCAGTTGAAGCTCCCATGAATGCGTTTCAGTAAATGCTTAAGGCTCAAGCAGCAAACTTCGAGAATATGATGAAGGAAGTGGTGACCGTTCTTGCCACCACGCAGCAAGAGCTGGAAACCATTGTCAGAAGTCAGAACAACGAATCTCAGCAACCCGCTGCTCAGACACCAGTCGTCGAAGTCAACACCAACCAACCAGCAAAAAGCCGCGACCAACCCCACACTGTTCTCCCAACGATCGCTCCAACCGACTCTGAGAAAACCCCTCTTGATAGCGAGTACGAGGAGGTCGAAGAAGAAGTCACCGCTGTATCTAGCGACTTCTCGGCCTCATCGGAATCCGAATCGAACACGACTCTAACTCCTGATACCAGCCCCAACCAAAAACGTAACCAGAAAACCGACACCCCCATGTCGCAACTCTCTTCGACAAACCCCTCCACCTCTAAATCGGCCAAAAGATCCATCAAGCTTGTTGACAAAACTAACCGCCCCCCCCCCCCCCCCAATGCCCCAGTTTCCAAAGTGCAAAGGGCGATGATTAGCCGACCAACGCTCACGTCATCTGGAAGAAGGGGTAATCCGGTGGACAAAATGAAAATAACATAGCCTCTAAGTCCCCCCCCCCCCCACACTCTTCGGCTACCAACCACGCAATGGACACGGACTGTTCTCTTATTGTGCCAACAACACCAGCCACCACCAACCAACGAGAAACTGGTTCGCGATTGGCGTCCGATAGCCGGGGCAACGTCGAACCGGAAGTAACACCCCAATCGGAATCTTCGGACCCCCCTCGGCGTCCGAGCCAACCGAATGAAGACACTTGTACCTTGGGTACTCAGGGCACCGGTAGTGCGAAAGATATACCCCAACCGGAACTGTCGGACGAAGATGCTTTACGCGAAAAACCCAGCAGTAGCCCACAGTAGCCGGGGCCCCGTCGGTGCGGACGTTTTCCCCACACCGGAACCGGTGACAACCCCCTGGTGCTGTGGCGAACCTGGACGAGGGACGGACAAGGGTGGCCTCGTCCGCCTTTCCCCTTCGGACAACGCGGTATGCAAGACACAGCTCAGTATAGAGACGGATAAGGGCAGTTGTTCCCATTCCCCGAAGGACAACGAGGGATTCAAGTCCCAAACCAACAGATCACCCCCCCCCCCCCCCGCACAGTACCTAGCTCAAGCACAGCGACCAACCCTCTTACCACCGTTGGGACGCCCCTGCCCTGGGTGGGTGGAACGCCTCCTCCTGCCCCTGGTGGGGATCCGTCTCATTCGGTACCGAGTTCTTCCGCAGCAAGCCCGACTGGAACACATCAAAATTCCAGTTGCTACGCAATCAGCCATCACTGTTCAACCGAACGACCCTCAACCAGCGGATCGGAGCGTGGGTAGCCTACCCCCGCACTACCGGTTCCTGTGAATCTGCGGTTTCTTTCTCCACCTGGCTAAATTGGAACTCCTCTGCAGTGGCACGTCCCCTTGGGTGCTTGCCCTGCAAGAGGTCAACAATCTGACGGTGGACCAGATGAACAGAACGCTAGACGGCCAATATACCTGGTCCATCAAAAAAGGGTCCAACCTCCGGAGTTCCGTTGCTATAGGAGTCCGCAAGGAAATCCCTCACCGAATCGTTGATCCGGATACCGACCCCCCCAATCGTCGGCATTCAGATCCAGAATCCAATTAGCATTTCCATCGCCTGTGCCTATCTGCCCTGCGGAAGGCTACCCAGCCTGGACAACCAGGTTCGCAGAATACTTGATCAGCTACCGGAACCCAAGATGTTTCTAGGGGACCTGAACGGCCACCACCCGGCCTGGGGTTGCTCACGAGCGGGCCCTAGAGACTTCACCCTCTGCGATATTTTCGAGCAGGAAGATGGTGGCCCAACGTTTTTCAACGGTCTGCACACCACCACCGTTGACGTGTCCACAGCCAGCCGTTCTCCGGCGGGCAAAGTGCTCTGATCGATTAACCCGGATCTGTGCGGCAGCGACCGCTATCCGGTACAGATTCGGTTATCAGCCGCATCGCCCCAGGAAACACCCGAAAACCGCGGTGGCGCTACGGGGAAGCTGATTGGAAGGGTTTTCAGCACACGTGCCGAGCCCTCGTGCAGAACCAGAAACCCACGACCATCCCAAGCATCACGTAAATCATCTATAAAGCCGCTAGCACCAGTATACCAAAAACT